AGATTGGTTACCATTCTTATTATTTGGGAGAATTTACACATATTTCACCCATTTTTTGAATCCATTTTAACTTCACCACAATTTATTATATATCAAAGATCTTTTGAGAAATTTTGTATTTGAGATTGTTAGGAACAGATTGGTAGGTCAATTGAACATGATGCTTGTAATTTTGTCACCCCATAGGTCTGATTCTGCCTTTACACTCTTTTAAATCTAGTTAAGAGCATCTTTTCAGCTTAGAATCACTTTTCAGACATTTTTGGTTTAAGCAACATTAACTTCTCATTTAGATATAAACTTCGAAACTACTGTATGTTACTGATTATCAAAATTTTAAATTATATTAAAACCATCAGTATGGATAGGTCAGTATAGATGGCAGTTAGCAAACAGGTTTATGTAAACAAAGGCTCTGGCAAAATATCAGTCTACGCAAATAGGCCGTTACTAACGATTTATGTGGATATACAAGGGGCGATCCATATATTCTGATAAAAATGCTCTCGATCATTTTGTGATTTTTTCACATATCCTTTACATTTTGTCAGAACATGTAGATTGTGTAATTACACATACGATGCTAAAATATGTTAGCTGTATCTTAAATTAATTTTGAAATAAGGTTGCCATGGTAACCTGTATTTAGGGTAGGCAGGTCAGTTAAATTATAACGTCTAAAATAGATAAATATGTTAATTTAATCATTCCTCGGTACCTATTTTAAGCAGATCAAACGCATCTTCCAGTCATTGTCAACTATTCATTGATCTGTTCCATACCCCTGTTGCCCTTGTTTAATAATTTAGTGGGATAGCTATCTTTTCATATTAAGTAACATCTCAATTTATCGTAGTGTTATTCTCTGTCCGCAAGCTCTTCTTGCAACCAGATTGCGGATGATCTTCAACAGTGACCATGCTTTCCTCTTTACAATACTACCTTTATATTCTTTATGCAGATATAACACCTTGCCCATGCACTTTATGAGTCCATGTACATGTATGTCTCTGACAGTGTCCTTTTACTTATTCTTGAAAGAAAATCAATCCCTAATGTATCCGTTAATGTGACACCCTGCATCAGCCACATTAACCTAATCTGACAATTTGATTTTTGGTGTGTCTCATAACATGTAATGTCAATTGGCCCATTCTGTCCTATAATGCTATTGTGATTTGTTGTGATGTTATAATGAGCACATATAAACATTTGTTTAGCAACAAACAACAAGTAACAATACCAAACTTTTTTAGAAAAAATGTATGATTTCCGCATGTTTTAAAATAATCAAAATAACAAGTTATTTTGATATTTATATGTTATAATTAAATTGACCTGCCTACCCTTAATGGTTACCATGGCAGCCTTATCTCATCGATAATTTAAGATATAGCTATAATATTTTAGCATTGTATTTGTAATTACATAATCTACATTTTCTGAAAAAATGAGAGGGATATGTGAAAAAAATCACAAAATGAGAGCATTTTTATCAGAATATATGGATCGCCCCTTGTATAAGTACATGAATTTATTTAGAAGACTTTCGGATTATATAAACCATATCAAATAACTCTTTATCGACATTAATTCAATCAGAAAGATCTAAGCGTTTTCCTTGGAACACCAAAGATGGCGACATTTGATGGATACCCAGTCTGCCTAGTTGACATGAATGATTCGGACATATGTGTATTTCGCCTACTGACAATCGTAGAATGTAAACCAAGGCACTAGGTACTGATGTGTGATGTCCCCCCCCCCCCCCGATCTAACTCTCTACTGAACAATGACCAAAATTTCATCTTTTGTCCACAGAACTTTTCTCCGGCTTGTTGGACACCCCACCAGTAGCTCCAAGAGATTCAAGTAAAAATTGAGACGTGTTCACATGTAGCTCATGATCAGAGACGTCAGTTAATGACATGTTTGATTTTTGTGAGTTCATATTTAAAAAGTGCAAAATATTTTTTACAGTCCATAAGGTGGTACTGTTTTTAAATATAGAATTTTCTCAATTTTTACATATTTTGGTTAAGTAAACCACATGGGCAAAATACCAACTTATCCCCCTTGTGAAATTGAGTTATAGAAAATGTAATAGTCAAAAGTTGAAATGAATAGAGAATAAATATCTACAGAAATGAATTTTGACCTATCCACTGACTGTGATGGCATGTCTGCAACAATCAGCAAAAGTCAGCAAATCAGCAGAAATAAACAGCAAACAACAACACAGCAAAATTAGAAGAAAAATACCACTGCCACCAATGTAGTCAAAGTCAAGAAGATTTGGTTAAACTGCATAAATTTCGTACAAGTTACATAATATACACATTTGACATTTATTATAAAAATAAGACAATGAATTTCTATGATAATCTCACATACATAAAAGAAATACATAATATCTATGTCAAATGAAAGAGAATAATTTATAGAACAATTAGCAATGTATAAAAAGAGATAATATTTGAATACAAAAAAGATAATTTGAATTGAAGATGAGCATTAAGTATGAGATTCTGAACAAGTGAAGTAGGCAAAAATGTCTACAGTACCTTCGGGAGTGAAAGGGCCACGTGCAGTATGGCAAGTGATTTTAGACAGTCATATCTTTCACCATGAGTACTTGCTGGCCACAAATACAGTGGGTTTTATTAAAACAATATGTTTTCCTTCAAGTGAAGTCCCCATGATACTAAAATATCAATCCAACTCTCTGAAAAATTATGGATTAGGACCCCACCTTGTCACTTTTTTTGAAAAAAGTAAGGCTTATTTTCAAAAAAGAGGATCTCATTTTTCTCAATTAAAACATATTAAAAGTCTCCTCTACATTAAATTAACAATTTCTGAAAAGGACACGGGTATTTAAATGCGTTATAAAGTTAAAAACTACATCCCATGTTATTATCCCACAGGAAAAACTCGTGCTATCCATTGTTCACAGCATAATTTTGGTCATGGAAAATGATATCTTCAAAACTAGACTTTCAATACTAATTTGATTTTTGAAGATGTTTTAGACCCCTTGTTAAATATTCTTGTCATGCAATAAAAATCAGAAAAGGGAGATCCTCTTTTGAGTAAATAGGTTCAATATTTTGAAATTTTGTTGACATGGGGTCCCTATTCATAATTTTTCGAATTGTTTGATTGATATTTTTATCATCATGGGTACATCACTTGAAAGAAAACATATTGTTTTAATAAAGAGTATTTATGCCCAGAAAGTACTCATGGTGAAAGATATGACCGTCTAAAATCACTTGCCATACTGCACATGGTCTTTTCATATTTGTCCATTGCAAACATTTCTATACATTTTTGGCATGTTTTTCAACTGATATTAAAATACATAATATAATACTAATTTAAAAAACTGTTGCAATGTTTGGGTCTGTGTGGGCCTCTTATGAACCCATTTGCCTGGCCTAAACATGTATGTGACCTGAATTGAGTGAGTATAAAACCGGTTTATCATGTATAGAAATCTGTGTTCGTGTTTAAGTTATATATTTCATTGTCAAGTTTTAAGGTGTTTCCCCTTTTTGTAATTTGGCACAAAAACATTGAATTTGAAGCAAGCTGGTCTTGGCCATCAAATCACTAGACCATTATTTCCAGTCTAGATCTGTTAAATCAGAAACATATATCTCACTTATTTTATTTTATCCGGGTAACTCAGCTGTATAGTAGAATCCCAGCATCATCCCTTATAACAAAAGTGTCCCTCGTTAGACAGTAATATTTTATTTTATGTTATTATTTAATGTTAAGCAAGGAGGATTGGAAGCCGTTATTTAAACTCGATACTCAGTATCCTGGCGTACACAAACAATATCACTTATATCTTGAAAACTACAAGGAAGTTTGAATATTACTCTTAATACTCGTAATGACCATCTCTTAACGAAATACTTGGTCAAAAGAAACCCTTATTAAAATATTTTTGCTGAATTGTTCCACTGCAGGCAACGAAGGATCGAGTTTGAAAATGGCTGCCAATCCTCATTGGTGTTATATAAGTGAACTTAGTCAACGAAAGAGAGTCAGTGAACTGTTAAACAGGTAAAACCTGCTACTATTTCCCAAAGGTCAATGTCAGGTTACCCCTTCGAATAAAACTCACATATGAAATACTGATATTTGAAAAAAGAGAATGTTTCCAATAGTGCGCTAGAACTAGGACCACACGATTCACCATGGCCGTTCAGTGATGAACTGCTATTAGTGTCTCATGTAGATTCATGATTATAATAGACGATGACATTAGTCTATATCCAATAGACTGAATTTCCTGAGAATTCAGTCTATTGATCATTATGTCTCTCCTGTGGGAAAAAACAGGAAATTTCCTGCACACAATTTTCAATTTTAGGAAACTTCACTTCCAAAAATAAGCATTATAACAATTCAATTAAGTAGTAAGGTACAATTAAATGCTATAAAAAGTAACACAGGATATTGTCAAATGGAAATAAAGCTAGGAGAAGTAACAAATATGCAAATTAATTTACCCAATCAGCCATTTTGAATGGCACTTCCTGTGTAAACAAATAATTTTCAATCCCATATTTTAACATATGTGGGCTATATTCTGAATATTTTCATTCCAAATTTCAAAAAAAATTCAGACTAGAGGATTTAGTCTACGATGACATCCTGTGGAAGTACGAATATCATACACAAGCCTATGTAAGTTATACATGAGATTACATGGCATTTTAAAACCGGTTATTATTCAATTTTAGTTTACAAAGGTGGTCGAAATTGCTATGGGAAACTTTGAATAAATTAATCAAACTAATTAAACCAAATGAATTTAATATTTTATAGCAATAGTATAGTGTTTCTAAGCAAATGATGTATATATTTTTATAGGAGTAGGGTATTCTATCCAACTGACAGCTAAAAATCTTTTTTTCAATACTAGACCAGCATGGAAGCTAATCTTTTTAACCAATCATAACGTTAAATTTACAATCTACACGGTGATGGTTACAGCCTACCAATGCTATATATAAAATTGCACAATTAATGTCATTGACTCATACGTTAGGAGGCCGAGCTAAAACGAAATAAGGTAAGCGAAGTTTATTTGGTTTCTTAAATCGATGATAAAAACTAAAGAGGTTGTTCCATGGACAAAATAAAAGTTTAGAGCAAAATTAGTAGTCAGAAACTTGACACGGTTTTGCCCAAATATCATATACTTTTCAAAGTTTTAAATATCCGGCACCATCTCTTCGAAGTAAATAATTTAACGTTAAAAGCCATGCATTGTAACTTTCAAACTTATAGATAGAACACACTTTAAACTTTATCCTGTTAGCACCCTAGACCATACTTGATCGAGGGTCATTTTTTAAAAACTCAGTGGAGTTGGACAATCCCAGTTTATTAAAATCGTCTCCCTGAAGATAAAACAATTCGCGAGACATAATCATTATCCAAGGGATGCACAATTATATTCTTGTTATACAAGCTAGGGTATCAGTGAACATCCCACTATATAAGACCATACTTGATCGAGGGTAATCGAAGTACAAAACAGTGATAGTCAACCTATGCCTGCCATTACCCTAAATCTTGTCGTATCAAAATATCAATTTTCCCATTAAGCATTAGAAGATCCTGAAACTGGACCTTAAATTAATTGTGAAATGGATTTGATTGTCAAAAAAGTACACCTGCGGGTATCAGTTCCTAGAAACGATTATTTGGCATGTCATTTAGCTACTTTGACTTTGGTGCTGAACAATTCTGTAACTAGTTTTCTGGGTGGCCTGGGTATTCATACGATTAAGCAGTACAGGGGCAAAAAAGCAAAAGGAGGGAAAGTCTGGACCCCTTTTGCTGAAAATAGGTTCAAAATAAAAAAGTAATACCCAATGAGGCCAGTTTATTATCAAAATTGCTCAGTTTATGTCGGAATAAACATATTCTGGGCCCCTTAAATCTTTCGGACCCGCCAATGAGGGGGCTAGATTTTCTAAGGGCCTATCAGTATATTTGCTATTTTTGCGTTTTTTCTCTTTTATAGTAGTTTAATTTCCACTGCAATTTGTAGCATCTGCTGTAGTTTCCGTACGGAGAAAATAAGTGGGATTGTATACAAGTATATAGTACTTTCAAATGATAATTTTTTGACGGCCAATCGTTTGTGTCATTCTATATTTCAGTATAACATCCAATCGGTTTAAGAATCCATTTGATTGGTAAATGTATCTAAAAGGGAACGCATAAGGTACGGCTGCCGTATTTTGGCAAGCTATGACCAACGAACGGTTGGCGTCCAATATGACTGAAACGCTATCCCGGAAACATATTTAACGTTACTCAGGTTGAAGTCATAGTATAAACACCTCTGTCTGCTTATGTAGCAATATTGTAGTATATATCGCGACGCAATTATTCTATTTTTCTATTTTGACAATCAAATCCTTTTCACAATTAATTCAAGGTCCAGTTTCAGAATCTTCTAATGCTGAATGGGAAAATTGATATTTTGATACGACAAAATCTTGGGTAATGGCAAACATAGGTTGACTATCACTGTTTTGTACTTCGATTACCCTCGATCAAGTATGGTCTTATATAGTGGGATGTTCACTGATACCCTAGCTTGTATAACAAGAATATAATTGTGCATCCCTTGGATAATTATTATGTCTCGCGAATTGTTTTATCTTCAGGGAGACGATTTCAATATACTGGAAGTTTTTAAAAAATGACCGATTCAGTAGACTATATAGTCTTAACCGGTTTTTTAGGAAAGTTTTACGTAACGATTTAATGGTTACTTGCCAATAGGCACGCTGATGGACTGGGTCATCGTACGTTTAATAGCTGACCTGGTTGAAATGTATGTAGACGTCTAAAACTTTGCCAAAATCAACTGGGGTTAGGTCGGTTGAACAAACTTGTTTTATGTGAATGCCATGACGAAGGATGGGCCTTATGCCTTGGTCACATTTGCTCTAATTTTCACCAAGGCGCCCGGCCGATTGAATGTTTTCTTCAAAATTGAATACAATATTATTACAAAGTTCAGTTATCCATGAGAACTGAAGGATTAACCTTAATAGACTATTTGGTATGTTGTTCCCTCCGCCATATAAGGTAAAAGAGGCGGAGTAAATTGGGTCTCATGTCTAAAAGGCATTCGGCCCTCGGTTCAATATTTTACTTTATTGCCCTTCGAAATGATGTTAATGTACTATTATCACACCGGTATAATGATGGAAAAAAGTTGATCAAACCAGCTCTTAAATTGCAAACAATTGCAGATATATGATTGAGTGTATGTTTTTCTGTCGTGAATTCAAATTGTCTAGATTAGGCTGTCCAATGTATTGCATCCTCCAAACATTAAAATATCATCATTGGGGAAATTTTTTTTAAAGATTATTATCTGGAGAAATGAAAGTAATCAATATGTAACTGTTACATTCCTATAATCACATGCGTTATGTAGATGCTTTCTATTTTCTTCCATGACCGACACATTACCATACAACCTAATTTGAATGATGTCGATGTTTCTAATTAATACACACCTCTTTGCTCACGCTGTACATGTGTGTTTTTCATGATATTACATTTCGAATGAATGCCGTTGTCGTTCCTTATGATGAATGTTTGGCCTTTACCTGAAATGATAAAATATTTTTTGAACATCTTAGTCATTATAAGTGCCAGAATACTTTTATATCGATTCAAATAAAAATGATTGCATCCATTGCAATCTTTAATATTTCACATGCAATATGAGCAACATGCACGTTGCCAGCTTTTGGTAAAGGAGAAAGGAGGGGGGGGGGGGCTTGAGCCCATCCCCATCCACACTTAAAAAGTTTTCCATGCTAACCAACACCTTGGGCGACCCTTAAACTTTAGAGGGTTGGAGCAACAATGCCCAATAATTCCAGTTTTCTATCTTAATAATCCAGTTTATTATGAGAGAGGCAGATTTAGGGCCCAAAAATAAGAAGTAGAAAGAAAAACGTTCAAGATCACATAAGCCCCCAAGCAAGAGATGTTGTGAACATAATCACCGGCTGTGTACTAAATTGTGACAGTTGAACGCGCAGGGTAAGTTACAACACGAGACTGGTGAAATATGAACAAATTGTTTATGTAAATCCTGATTTTAATGCCAATGATGGTGTTTGGAAGATCCGTGTATAAAATAATGAAAAAGCTTTGCTAAATAGGCTGTCACCAGCAATCATGATATTATATTGGCAAAAAAATTTAATGAGGTAAATCCCAACTTTGACGTGACTCAATTTGAAAATACTATGTTTTCATATATACCAGAACTTTTGGGTATTACTATTGCGAATGTTTGAATGAATGGAGGTGGTGTGAACGTGGTTTAGTATTTCATCGTTGTCCTGTTAAATGTATTATTTCATGTTTGATTCAATCAAAAAAAAAACTTTTATATATACCAGAACCTTTGGGTATGACTGTTGTGAATGTCTGAATGAATGGAGTTTGTGTGAAAGTGTTTTAATATTTTATCTTTGCCCTGTTAAATGTATAATTTCATGTTTGATTCAATAAAATAAATCAATAAAAATGATATAAACAAGGCAAAAGGAATATATGTAATTAAAATGCGTAAAATTCTATATAAAATAGTGGAAATGAATACATATTTTGCTTTTCAACATGATTTATAGTGTATGATGTTACAAAGTAGGCCATGTCATATTAAAAGGGGTATTCTTGGAATGATTAATGGAGTCTAAAACATCATCGAAAACAGATGTGTATTGGAGGATTCATGATTATTAGACACCCTTTTCTGGAACAACCATATTAAAAATGAAGCCACATACTTTGTCCTATAGTGAGGGCATTGGGGAAAAACTGTACAAAAGTCATGTAAAATTGCATAAATGTTTCTTGCCCATTTCTTAAGTTATCACTTTTGACAAAATAATTTGCGACCAAATACTTTGAAACGATTAACGTTGGCTCTATTTACACTTTTATTTTTACGATTCAATACTTATGTCCAAGGAAACATTCTGGTTATTGTTTGTTTGACACTCACAAATGTGATAAATGATATCTTATTTGAGATCAACAAGACTCATTGAACGATTAACGAAAATATGTTAATTTTTCATTTCTTTGAAAATTGCTCAGGTTGAGAAATGCCAGAATATAGTTCTAAATGGTGACAGAAGAAGTGAGTAGCTCCCACAATTCTTTCATATTCTATCGTATTCGGGGATTTCACATTACGTCATCTCTCGGATCATCTCGTGGGAATGGCGTTAACATCAGTTCAACATCAGTATTTCAAACCCAAGGTAATACTATTGAAATTACACGATCCATACTTGTAGAGAATACTCATAAAACTACAGCGAACATTTGGAGATCCATTTCAATGGCAAATCAGGCCTGTCAATAAAATTTGTTTTCGAACGTGCCAATACGAAAGGTCATCTTTGGTAACCCCCCCCCCCCCCCCCCCTGAATGATGCCGCCTGCGAATTTATAAGTTATGACTTGTCTCCTTTGCATTTAAAAAAAGCATCGCCATTTGAATATTTTAATTTCCGAATATTTTAATTTTCAAAATCCACCCGCTATGGCTTTTTGAGGCCGATTTCCGGTCCATGCAAATTATTTTAAAAGGCTGTGTTACGTACTTGTATGTCTAAGTTTTCCTTGCAAATAAAAGAACACAGGGTTCCTGTACTTGGTTAACCAAGCTGTACCATCCTACTGTATACTATCTAATTTTATTTTCCAGAATTAGATAGCATCCTTCAATGGGATCATTGTACCATTCCTTTTGTTTTCCCGAATAAAATTGTATCGGCAAATCTGTAGATCCACTGTGCTATTTTCTTTTTTCCGGAGTAAAATGGTACCATCAATCAAATGAAATACTGCCTTTTGATTGGAATCGGACACACCTTAATTGCCTAGTATAGGTGAAAATGGTATCAACAAATGGCTTCGTTTTCCAGATTAAATAGTATTCCTTCAAGATGTGACTTTCTGTTCAATCTCGTTTCTTCTCCAAATTAAAGT